ATTAAAAAACTTTTAGTTAAATTAAAAACAATCTTTTATTTATAATTTATTTTAATTGGTTTTTAAAAACATAGTACAATAAGTACTAAAATTATCTATTAATATTTTTCTTTGTACATAGTTAATTTTGATAATGATAGAATAATTTTTGTTAATGTTAGAAAAGTGATATTTACGAAGTTGCACCAATGTTGCAGAATAGATTGTCGCAAACCAACCGCGAGATTAAATTCCTCACTACTGTGATGCACTTGATGGTGGGCCCACAAAAAGTGAATTTCTGCAAACAAGTCGATTAATATCTTGAATTAAAGAGAAAAAAAGGGATGGTTGTTGACACGAGAAATGCTTGGAAATTAACCATGATTACTGCGATGAGCCCAATAGTAACAAAAGTCCATGGCAATGAAGGTAATATTCCATGTGCATAACGAATTCCAGGGTAAACTGTACTTTCTGCCAAACTTCTCATAAATAACAACATATAAATAATATTCGGCACCGCGAGAAAATATTCTGTGAAATTAATAATAACATTTTATTTAAATTTATCAAATAAAAAAATACAACTGATATATATTACATTCGTATTTATGTATTTATATTATATTTATCTCTTTATTTATTCATCTTTTTATATCTATGTACAAATATCTTATTTTTGTTATATGTTTATTATATTTTTTATAATCCGCTAAAATCTCTCAAAATTTTCTTTTTTATACAACCCCCTATACATCAGATTTCTTATTCCTTTAGATATAAACTATAAAGTATAACTGAATTTATTCTTATTTTAATAAGATAATTAAATTATTATGTTCTTGAGTACAGTAAAACTAAATTAATACGAATAGAATAAAATCACAAAAATAAAAAATTTAGTTATAACTAGAATACATTGTATGTAAATATTTTTATATGTCGATAACGATCTAGCTAATGAAAATGTTGAGATAAAACGATTGTTAAAACCTACTTTGTAAATTATTTAAAGCTATTTTAATTTTTTCTGAAAACTAATGAAACACATAATTTTCAGGAAAAGAGAAAAATTTTACGCGTGTGTATATTTTCTATTTTCTTTGTTTTAATATAATAAAGGATATGTTGTAACTGTCTTTACCGGATAGTTTCGTGGAGCATCCAATGAGATAACGATGTCACTTGATCATTTAAACGAAACTTTTTTTTTAATATTAGTTGCTCCAGAATTATCAGCAGAAAAAATGGCATCCATATCTATAAATATCAGAGATTGTATACGCAGAAAGTTAAGCTTTACGCGCAGTTTCATGTATTAGTGCCTACGTTCGAATGAGGTCTCGACAAGAATAGCGCGCACATACGACTTGTTAACGATTCATGTAGCTTGTCGTGTTCGTAACAAGTAACAGGCCAGCTGCGCATTCAAATTATCAGACTTCCTCAATGCATTTGACATCATTTATGCTGCTTTGGCATAAATTGTATGAAGATTTTTCAAAGAAAAATTTTATAGATTCTATTCGAGCCGCATGCGCACTAATGAAACCAATAATTAGCAAAAGCATAAATAATTTATGCTGACATTAGAGGGAATCATTTCTTAAATTTAAATTATTGTTACTATTAAATAAATAAGGTTACAATAAAACGGAAAAATTAATTAATAATCAACAGTAAAAATTAAACTTTATAATAAAATTATTTACAATAATAAAAACTAGTCTTTAGATTATTGTTTCTAATATTTCAATAATTAGAAACTCGATTTTTTATATAATTGTTTTAGAAAACAGCTTCATTATCAAAATTAAATTATTTGTTTTTTTAAATAATCAACAATTAACACGTCTGCTTTATAACATTATTTACTTTATGACATTATACAACATGTAAAAAGTAGAATGTAATTAAAAAATTTATTAAATACGTCAAAATCTTCTTATTTTTATTTCTCATATGGAGAACGTTACCTGTTGTTGATAATCCGGCACCTGATGTAGAAATTCGAAAGTCGTCTCGTTTGGACTGACTAAATACCAAAATCTTCCAATATATTTTGGAAAATAGTCGATTTCAGCGAGTGGATTTGATATAACGCTCATCTTGTGTTTATACACTCACAAATACGCGCAAATTATCAAACTGCAAATTATAAATTTTTTAGGAGCATCTCAGGTGAATAATATGCAAACGTCTCAGACAATATACCGCATCGATTTAATCATTTACGTAGCGCGTATGTGTTTATATAAGTGCTAGACTACACACGTGACAACATTGGTTATCTTAAAATCACGCGATAAATGTATGTACTCAAATATGCATGTTCAAAATTGTTTAATAAATATAAAACGATTAAAATGATACATCATATTTGAGCTTTATTATTATATTATTATACTTAACAGATTTATGCCCATTTTCACCAATGCAAATTATAACTTTAATCTCGGTTCAATTTGCTTTTCGTCTTTTTTCTAATTCAAAAAATTAGAAAAAGATGGACAATAAATTAAACCGAGATTAAAGTTAATCTTTATTGGTGGAAATAGGTATTAGTCCATCGATGCATCTAAAATATGCATCTAAAAAAAATAAAAATTAAACGATTTTTATTAGACCTTAAAAAATATAAAAATATATAATAATTATATAATATATAATAATTATACTAATCTTAAAAAATAATTTAATGTAAAATTAAATTAATAATTAAATAAAAATTATTTTTAGAATTATATA